CTGAAATAATGCTAACAAATCAAATGATAATAATAAATAACAATAGGTAATTAATAAATTTGATCAATATGATCAAAATGATAATAGTAACAAAACAAATAGTAACATGAATAACAAAAGTGATTGATAAATAACGCTAATTAGAAATGATATGTTAAAAACTATTACTTTAACGTTAACAGAACTTTAACTGCAATACAGACATTGGCAGAATTGAAGCAATAACTCAAGAAAATAAATGAATTTTAAAGAGAAACGGAGATTCAAACTTATACAGATGAAATCAAAGTAATAAGAAATCAAATGTCGGTGGAAAAGAAAAGTAGGTGATTTTTAAGATTTCGTTTAAAGCTAATTATTGATGTTAAACATTTTAGGTGGAGCGGGAGATTATTCCATGTAGTTATACATTTATATTTTACACTCATTTGGGCTACGGACGTTCTAACTAGGGGGATATGGAAATGGGCACTTTGTCGAGTATGGTAAGTATGAAAATGGGAATTAAGATTTAGAAGACCATTAAATGTGTCTGGAAGAGAACAAGTAAGGAATTTAAACGTAAATAGCATCAGATGAAGTTTGTTTATGTCAAAAATATTCAAAATATTAAGTTTTGTAAACAAAGGTGCAGAATGTGCGTGGAAACTGGCGCCGGTGGCTGAACGAACAAATCTTTTTTGGAGTAATACTAGGGGCTGTAGTGTGGTTTTGTAGGCGCATCCCCAGACTATATTACCGTAGGTTAGATATGGGTATATTAAGCTATTGTATATGGTAATAATGGTTTTTTGAGTAAGAAGATGTTTAATTTTTCCAATAATACCGATTGTTTTTGAAATTTTTTTACCTAACATAGTTATATGTGGTTTCCAGGTCAATCGTTCATCAATGATTATACCTAAGAATTTGGCTTGACTCTCTTGAGAAAGGGTCACATTTTTTAAAAAGATTTTGGCGCTTCTATTGTAGGTTTTATTTCTATTACAGAAAATAAGGTAGTATGTCTTCTTAACATTGACTGATAATTTATTTGCCTCAAACCACGATATAACCTTTTTCAATTCTTCGTTAGCCAGGTTTACTAGCGTATCAAAATTCGAGTTTGAAAGAAAAAGATTTGAATCATCTGCAAATAGGATATGCAGATGATTCAAGGAAGCGTCGTTTCCAGTGGACAAGTTCGCCTACGGCAAGAAACGTCTGTCATCTTTGCCGTCCAATAAGATATAAAATCTCCACTTACGGCCCAGGTAAACTCATATTTTTAGCTACGTAGCGGGATTCGACACCCGCGCTCGCTGTGTAGCGGGGACCATGCAGTTAGTTATCTAGAAAAATGGCGGATTTTACCCATCATGCATTT